TCACTGTGCCTGAACCTGAGACCTTCCTGACTCTGGGCCCCAGTTGATTTATTTGTATTTAGGACCTTTCTCAGGAGCACTGGCATCTCCTTGGCTTTTCTCCAGTTGTCTGCCTGTCCATTCTGGCTTCTTCTTGAATGGATAGTGATTCCAGTGGGACAGCAGGACCTACCAGTTACCCCGTGCCCTTTCAGGTGACACAAGGGTTTTCGCAGAAGTTACCTCCAAAACCTGAATGATCAGTATTTCACTAGGGTTTACAAAATGCTGCTTTCTAATCCGTCATTTCTTCTGTATTTGTTAGCCTGTGTTTCTAAAACATGGCAAAGCCTCACTCATGTGCTCACTCATGTGCTCACAATTGCTCACTCATGTGCTTACAATCTAAGGCTCAGGGCACAAACAATGGGGTTTATTAATATAGGGGTAATTGGGAAAAAGGAGAGTTACTGAGGCTACAAATGGCCTACCCCAGGTAGTGTTCTCCGTAATGACCAGTGGTCCAAACCAAAAGCTGCTCTACTAGATGGCATGGTCCTTTCTATGAGAACCTGGAGCTGGTGGCACACTGATAAGTGTGGCCCAGGACATAACTCACAATGGCAGCTGGAGGTGATCACAGATAGAACCACTATATGACACCAGTGCAGCCAGCAAGACCTATCAGAAGGCTGGGCTGGCTAGTGCCAGATGCTGGACTGAACACTGCCAGAGGCAACAGCACCAGGGGGCTGTGCTGGAGGATCAGAAGTGGTGGTCAGCTCTCAGAGGTAGCTGCACACAGGTCAACAGTGCTGGTCAGCGGGCTGTGGTGCCAGAGAATAGGCATCAGAGTTTTAGCCCTTTGAGAGCTGTTGGCATAAGCCAATAGTGAACAACCCTTTTAGAGACACCAGGCATAGGCTGAGGGTGCCATTCTAAAGGTGATGTCAAGAGTCAGGGCTGGAGGCAGGAGCAGCATTCAGGCTGTACCTTGAAGCAGAGATCAGATGCAGAGGTCTGCGGAGGTTTGTGTCCTGATAAATCTTCCTGATGTATGCCTGTAAAATTCTTACTCCAGTGAATCTCTCTGTGGAGGTTTCCAGGGGAATGTCCCTATGAGTTTGAATCTCAAGCACTCTTGAATCTTGGCTTATGTCCCCTTCAGGCTATCTGCCTGTTTGGTCCATGTGTAACTCCAGTTTGGTTGGTGCTTGTCAAGCTTAAATCTGATCTGTCTATTTACAATCCTGAGTGGTAGCAAAACCCTTGAATGGCACTGGTCAGCTCAAAACTGATTGGTTTGTTTACAGACCCAATGCTCTATTCAAAAGTCAACCCCTGCCAGTGTGTCCAGACCCAACCTACTATGATGTTAGGCAGTCTCATTTGCAGTGGGTTCGGGGTAACCAGGGCCTGGGACAGCGTTGGTGGGACCAGACACTCATCCAAGCGAAACTGAACCAGGAGCTGGGGGGCTGGGGGCCTTCAGCTGTCAGAACCTTCCAAGCTGGCCTGGGGGTTGAGCCCAGAGCTGGCCTGTGGGCTGCACACGTTGTGGTCTCTGTCTGTGGTTCCTGCCAGGACCAGCCATCATATCTGGTCATGCCCCACAGTAGCAGCAGCTGCGGGGCTTCTGTTTCAGTGTTTTAAACAACAAGAAAATTTATTTATTAGAAAATTTATTTAAGCAAGAAAATTTAGCTATCTTCAAAAATAGCTACTTTATTCTATTGAGTTACCAAGTTTTAGAGCAAAGAATCTGTGGTCCTAGAACTGTTCAAAATGAAGTTCCATGAGTCTTCCTACCTGATTGTCCTTTTTTTTTTTTTTTGAAATGTTATCCTCTGTCCCTATCTTTTCTTGCACTGAAGCACAGTTTCCTATGAGTGGCACCCCATCCAGGTGGCACCATTTACCATTTCCCATGAATATGACTGTCACTTCTGGGCATGGCTTCCAGAACAGTGGGGTGTTACTCCCTCCTCACAGACTTGCCATCTTCCAGAGTCCTAGTCTTTTCAATGGGAAATGGTTTCCCATCCCCAAATCTACCATGTTGTTGGGACTTAACAGGAGACAGAGATGGGAAATATTTTTTATAAAAAGGAAAATTCTGAGTTCATATAGATGTTTTTTAATTTACTTAATTTCACTCCTGTGGGTTTTTTTTTTAGATTTGTGTTTCTTTCTCTTGGTACTAGAAATCCTAATGGTGATAACATCATTTATTTGTTTCATCCTTCCACCTGTATAGATTCAAAGTAAAATTGCCAGCATTACATATAACAAGAATACTGAATAAAATTTAAGTTTTCTTTGGTTATTTTTCTCTTGGATTATATCCCACTAGATAGACAGTCAAAATATGTGCTCTCAGGCCACTTGAGTAATTCTCCTCTGTATGGTCATGCCACCCAAGTGGTAACAAGCTTATTTTATATTTGGTTTTTATTTTTAGGCATCACCGTTCTAAATAGAATTTTTATTTTTAGGTATCTAAGGTATTTGCATGACTGCTCCACCCTGGGAAAAGACCTACCTGGAGAAAGCTCCTTGTTCCTACCCTCTCCACTTGTGTGGTTAGGCATCTGCACGCACTTTGGGGGTGCCCTCCATCATGCCTGTTGGATACCAAGAGCAGATAGCTATTTGACTGTGTATTTCTGGAGCATGCTCCTTAATGGAGCCTGCTGACTTCCCTCAGGCCTGAGTGGGAGAGACTTCCAGTACCAAGTGGAATGGGCCATTGTCCAAGTCCAAACCCTATAGAGATGCCGAGGGCCAGGGTCACATATATCACCCTTGAGGTACCCTGGGCGGGGATTTGGTGACCCTTGGAAATCATATGTAGGAATAGTACAGGGTTCCAGAAGGCACTGTTGCTTTCATGGATCCTCGGAGGTGGGGATCTAGAACCCCAGATAGACCACTGAGAGAAGAGCCTGTTGAGGTGCTGCAGGTGTAGATTGAGCTCTCCACAGAGGGCCTCTGCTAGGGAGGTGTGGACAGGAAGGGGTGATACCCAGAAGCTGTCCTTTATCTCATCCCTGGGCCGAGTGTACTGTGTAGTAACTGACTTCAGAATGTTGGGGACTTCAGATGCCTCTCCCACCAGAGAGTGACAGTGGGGAAAAGTATGAAGCAACATTCTAGAGGCACAAGAAGAGAGCCCAGTGTTGTGCCTGCTGGCCTGGAGGTGTGCATGGGTGTGGCCTGGAGAAGGCTGATCAGCTGCCTCCAGTGGGCCCAACATGAACTGCATGGTGATCATCTGCACCAGGCCATCCAGCTTGGACTCCCAGATACTATCCCAGGCCAGAGAAGCTCCACACAGCCTGCCCAAGGGATACTGGGATAACCCCCATCTGTGCCAGGAGGCCTGTGTTTGAAGGATACAGTGGCTGCCCAAGGTCACACAGGGACTGAAGGCTAGTCTTCCCTGTGGCCAACTCCCTGTCCATGGGGGGAACCTAGAGGAACAGACCTAGTCACTGGACCTTCAGAGTCCCCTCCAGTGAGGACAGTTGGAAGCATCTGTCTACCTCTCCCTTTGGTCCGTATGTTCTGGCATATGGGTGCTGAGGGAGGCCTGGATCTTGGAGAGGCTGAGCATTTACTTCTATGTATAGAGGAATGTCTCCCCCACTGAGGCAGGATAGCAGTGTCACTGGTCTTGGCTCCTCCCTTGACCTCCATCTCTAGAGAGAATGTTGGGTAGAAGTGTGGGGCCTGCATGTGTGTGTAGCTAGTGAGGGTGAGTCTTGCTCCAAGAACTCATAATTAATTCGTAGCATCTGAGGAAACCTGCAGGAGTCAGCTCATTGTTTAAAAAATGAACAAGAGAACTAAATTTAGCTATCAGATGTTCTCAGAGTAGGATTCAAGGAGCTCTGAGCTTTGTGAGCCCCTCTTTGGAAACTGTGAGGTCCTTCTCACCCAGCACCTGCATTGTGAGGTGTATCTTCACACCAGCCTCAAGCCCTGCCCAGGGCTGTGGACTGAATGTAGCTCAAAAATCCAGCTGTCTTCTGTGAAGACACATTTAGGAGACTTGAAGAAGTAGGCAGTGGTGCCATGCTGGTAGTTGTCTGCATAATGATCATAAAATGTTACTTATGCTAATACATAATGAATTTGCTTGTTACTTAAAATACAAATACATTAGAAAAACATTTCTCAGTTGTGTATAGCTCATGTGGTAGATACCCACAGCTTTTACCACTTACACAAGTTTTTCTGTGATGTCTTCAATTATTTTAAAAGTGTAACGGGATGCTGAAACTGACACGTTCCAAAACTGCTGCTTCAATGCTTTCCTTGAAATACATGTGGCGCTCCCCGTAATCACAGCTGCCATGTGGATTAGCACACACAGGTGGTGGCAGTGCTTGGTGTGTCTCTACATGACAGGAGGAGGTTGAGGACACTCTTACAGTTGCATAAATACAAAGGTGGGCCTTCTGCAGTATGGGGTGCCCTCCTGAAGTCAGGTTTTTCTTTTGGGGAGAGCTGCTCACAGGTTCAGTGGATCTGGACTCTAAGCGAAAAGCCACAGGGAGACGCAGATGCTTCTGTCCTGCCCTTCCTAAGAGTACTGGAGTTAAGCACATTTCAGAAGGGTGATCAAGCAGAGATCTTGGTGGTGGTGTAGAGGGACACTCTGCTAGCCTTCTTGGGACAGAGAGCTCCTCCTTGGGGCGAGGAACTGTCATGCCTGGGATTGGGCAACTGCCTGACCTTGAAGGGTCTGTGGCATTGACAAAGGGCTGAAGGGGTAGACCTCTAGTGGAAAGAGGTCTGAATGCAGGTGTGGGGAAAGCATGGGGTGCCCCAGGGCCACTCTAATCACAACTATGGGGACCACTGACCACTTTCCCAAGGCTTACCTCACCTTGGGGGAGTCACCTGGTTTGGAGCATGGGGCCTTGGTGAAAATAATGAGGGGGCTCTAGGTGCCTACCATCTCATGGCCCAGGTGTGTTTGTCACTAATGTGCAGTTTGCCCTCACTCCCCAAAGGAGAACCACTGCCGTCGCATCAAGATCCTGGGGGACTGCTATTACTGCGTGTCTGGCCTCACCCAGCCCAAGACCGACCATGCCCACTGCTGTGTGGAGATGGGCCTGGACATGATCGACACCATCACGTGAGTGACCATGGGGATATGATCTTGATCAAATCATGGACATGATCTCCCCTGCCCCAGGTGGACCTTTCACAAGCCTGTATTGCCCTGGTCAGTCTGTCACAGGTGGGTCATCTGTGCATCAGAGTCATGTTAGGGGGACAAGTCCCACCTGAGCTGTAGGCCTGTGCTTCTGTGATGCCCTTCTTGCCATTATTTTTGTCCACAGTAATACCAGGAATTGAGGTATACATTAGTTATACAAAAACAAAGTACTTTTAGGGCTTAGTTGGGGTTTAGGGGAGTCACCTGAGGAGTGGGGTTGGCTTAAATCCAGATGAGTTCCACTTGAAAAAGAGCAGTGTGCATTCATTATTCATGTGGGGAGGTGACTAGGTCTCAGGTGCTCTCTGTGGAGAGAGAATTGGAATGAACAGGTAAGGATTTCTGGAACACTGATCTGCCCATGTTTGTCACGGTCTTTGTTGGTGATTTGGATGGAGATATGAGAGGCCTCTGTCTGGCCAGAGAAAGTGCACGGAGGAGGAAGTTGAGCTGCTAGGCTGATGGATAGAGCACATTCAGCATGTCAGTGGTGTGGAGAAGCAGACATGGTCCAGTGAAATGGGTTAACAGGACTTGCATCATTTCATACTCAGGAGCAGAGAAGAATTGTATGAGGAAGAGGCAAAATAACTTAGCAAATATCTTAGGAAATATCCTCTCATCTTTAGAGATGAGAGGCTCAGTGGGCTCACTGGTGGTCCTAGAGAGGTCGATTGCAATGAGCCACGCACCTGCAGACTCTGTAGCAGCAGGGCCTTTGGGGAAGGGAGCAGCACCTCACCATCGAGCTAAGTCTGGTACCCCCCGAAAATCAAATCCCAATGCCTATTCCTCTCAAGACTGGAAAAGCAGCCCATGGGATTTCACTGTACCCCCTCTGCTCTAGAAAAGAGAAACCAAACTGTAGGGAAGGCTGATTAGACCCAGGGGAGGAGGGGAAGATGCCTGGCCTGGTAAGGCTTAGAGACAGGATGATGTCTTCTGTTCCCAGAAAGGAAATCATGTCATGTCACATCATAGTCATATAGCACCTCATATATATATTATATCACTTCATATCACATCATCATATACTCTGTCATTTCACACCTTATCATATATGGCATATCACAGATTACATCACATTTATGTCACGCAATATCATAAGTCATATAAATCATCTGTAATATCAAGTCACATCATTTCATATCATATAACACAACACATATATAATGTCATGGCATAGATATCTCACTTTATATCATATCCCATATCATGTTGTGTATCACATCACAGCTTATATCATTTTATGCAAATGGACAACAGGTATATGAAAAAATGTTCAACATCACTTATAATCAGGGAAATGCAAATCAATACCACAATGAGATACCACCTTACACCAGTGAGAATGGCTCATATTAAAAAAAACAGGAAACTAAATGCTGGTGAGGATGTGGAGGAAAAGGAACTCTCCTGCACTGCTGGTGGAAGTGCAAACTGGTCCAACCACTATGGAAAGCTGTCTGGAGGTTCCTCATACTACTAAAAATGGAGCTTACATATGACCCAGCAATTCCACTCCCAGAAATCTACCCAAAGGACACAAAAACATTAATTCAAAAGGATACCTGCACCCATATGTTTATTGCAGCACTAGTTATAATAGGTAAAACCTGGAAACAGCCCAAATGCCCAAAAATAGATGACTGGATCAAGAAGATGTGGCATATATGCACAATGAAATATTACTCAGCAATCAAATTAGATAAACTCATGACATTCGCAGCAACATGGATGGAGCTGGATGGGATCATACTCAGTGAAATAAGCCAGAAAAAGAAAAGGAAAAATATCAGATGGTTTCATTTATAGGAGGAATGTAGGGAAACCAAATAAGGGATCAGGAAAAAAAGTAATTCTAATAAATTGAAAACCAAAATTAACAGGCAACTATAACTCAGAGACACTCTGCAGGGGAGGGGAAGGAAAGGGATCAAACCAGGGGAGGGAAGAGCACAAGGAATTATGATGATGGTTCATGGTGAATTGGTGGTGGGAATTTTATGGGGACTACCCCTGAGAGGAGAAAGCATACATTGTATAAAAAGGAAGAATGATGTAAAATATATATAAAATAAAGAAGTGAAATAAAAAAAATCATTATATCATTTCATGTATCACATCATTACAGTATAGTATATGTCATATGTATCCTTATACCTTGCTTTCTGTGATCTCTTTGAGGTAGATCGAAGTTCTATAGGTGGAAGCTATAAAGAGAAAAATGTCAGCTCATTCTTAGTATTTTGTGTGGACAGGGATAAAGTTGACTTAATCAGTGAGGAGAGGAACTGAGTCCCTAGTGTGGGGCTGACTGGCCTGAAGCAGGTGATTCATGGAGCTGAACCAAGTGGCCTTCTCTCTTTAAGGTGGATGATGCTTACTGGGGTCTTCCTGGGGGACCCTGGAGCTCACCTGGTCAAAACTTGAGAGACGAGAGTTGGTAGAAAGAAAATCAGGTTTAATCAGGAACTGGCAAATCTGAGGAGATGACTTTAGAGACTGTAATCTGCATGTCCTCAGGTTTGCCAGCTCCTATTTAAACCTGATTTCCTTCCACCAACTCTTGTCTCTTGAGTTTTGACTTACGAGCAGTGAGTAACCAGATCCAAACTGTAGTCAACAGTTGGTGACCATGAAGGGACTTAAAGGCCTGTGCACTCCAAGCAAATGAGCCCTCTTTGTTTTTAAATTTAAATTTTATTTTTATATTCCCCATACAATTACAACCCCCTTATTTTTACCCCAAGCCCTCCTTCCCTCGCCCCCACCCCCCATAGAGTGTCTCTGGTTCATAGTTATTTGTTGATTTTGATATTTTCTTTCTTATAGTTATTCTTTTTCCTGGTCCCTTATTTAAGTTTTCTAGATTCCTGCTATGAATGAGACCATCCGGTATTTTTCTTTTTCTTTCTGGCTTGCAAATGAGCCCTCTTGATTTCCAATGGACAGAGCAGTTGGCCGCAGCAGCCTGCCAGGACTGACCTATTAACACTGTTGGGAGGAGTAACAGTTGCTTGTGTGAGTCATCTCCTTATAGCAAGCTGACCCCTTGACTGGGAGTATCAGGGCTTCTGTGCAGTTGCCAACAAGTCATTATCTTGGAGATTCCCCTTTCTCCTGTTCATTGCACCAACTGCCTACAAATGCTCTGTTGATGGAAAAAAATGGTTTCTGGCAGGGAATTGGCAGATTCCAACTCCTAGGTAAGTCTCATGGGAAGCACACTCTAGATTCCTTGTTGCCTGTCATTTGGTTACTTTGGCAACAATCTGTGGCTCTTTTGGGCCAATCTGGGTTGCTTTGGTAACAATCTGTGACTCTTTTGGGCCAATCTGTTTCAGTACTGAATAGACAGGGAAAATACAAGGTGTACAATTGAGACTTGGGCATCTGTTTCTGTGTGTGTGACTCTGTAATCTCTTTCTCTATTTCTGAATAACCGAGTATTATACTTAAGAAAGGCTCATGGGGTCTTCTGTCTCTGTTCCACCCAAGAGTCCATTCTTACTGTCGATCAGGTAGCCGAGGCAGGGCTGGGTAAGTACCAGTCTGCGTGTTCCCAGAGCAATTGCCTGAGTAGGGAGAGGTACGGGAGATAACCAGCGAGTGCAGAGGGTTGGATGGGTAGGTCAGGGTTAAGGAGAAAGTTGCGACTGTACATAAGTTCGAAGGGGCTAATGAAAAGGGGTCCTCTTGGAGTGGCCCATATCCTAGTGAGGGCCAAGGGGAGAAGCTGGAGCCAAGACTTATGGAGCTGTAACGAGAGTTTAGTCAGGTGATCCTTGATTAGCCCATTGGTGCACTCCACTTTTCCTGAGGATTGTAGGTGGTAGGGAATGTGTATCTTCCAGGTGATAACCAGAGCTGCGGAGTCATCTTTGAGATAAAGGCTGGACCACTGTCAGATTAGAGAGAGGTGGGGAGGCCAAAGAAGGGCCTCAGTTACCACTGAGCCGTTTCCCTAGCTGCAGGGTAGGCCTTGACCCAACCTGTCATTGTATCAACCATTGTTAGCAGATATTTATTCTTTTTGTGAGTAGGGAGGTGAGTAAAATCAACTTGCCAATCCTGGCTGGGTAAGTGTCCATGCAGTTAGTGAGCTGCAAAAGAAGGTGGGTGGACTCCACCCTGAGGTGACATGCGAGCACAAGTTTAACAATGGGAACATATATCTGCCAGACTTTTGCACTCAAGGAGGGGTGGAAGTCTGCCTGTTTGGCAGGTAGGGCCAGTTTGTTATTTACCATAATCCAGCCATGAGCTATCTCAGTTCCTCCTTTTGACGCGAGGAATTGACATTCGTTAGTCTCATAAGTCAGAGTGATGAAGGGGACCGATTGAAAGAGAATAGGGCAGCAGAGTCAGTTGTGAGAGCCCTTGCTGCTGTATCAGCTTTGTTATTACCTGTGGTAACATAAGAATTGTCAGTCTGATGTCCTTTACAGTGGATAATGGCAAATGCAGTCAGAAGTTGCTGCTGAGGTTGCTGCTCAGAGGTTAAGAATAAATTTAGTGTTAATGATGGATGACCCCTTGGTGGAAAGAAATGCCCTTTCCTGACAGATTGCAGCATGACTGTGAGCGATGAGGAAGGCATATTTGGAATCAGTATAGATGTTAGCCCTCTTGTGTTTGCTAAGGGTAAGGGCCCTGGTAAGAGCTATAAGTTCTGCCTTCTTGGGGGGTGGTTCCTCCTGGCAGCTTTCCTGCCTTGACTACCTGATCGACAGTAACAATGGCATAGGCAGCCCTGCACTGACCCTGCGCATTTATGCAAGAGCTGCCATCTACAAACAGAGTCCAGTAGGCATCTGACAAAGGAGAGTCAGCCAAATCCAGTCTGGAGATTCGCATTTTGTCCAGGATTTCAGGGCACGAATGAGCAGCAGAAAGGGGGCCAGAATAAGACG